GCACTAGGAACTCGTCGAGCTTCATATCTTTCTTCACGGTTCTTTGTGAACAACTCTGACCATCGGGTCGGTGGTCTTCCTGTAGGACGTTTGACATCCCGAGGAATCCAGTCACTAACGGCTCTTGTCCATCGGTTGTCATTCATACGCATTACGTGTCTGGCCCACCTTATCTTCGAATGATTGGTGTACAGAACGGCATCTTTGACTTTTCATCGCTGACGCAGATCGAAGCTTCAGATCCCTTCCCATACTTATGTGAAACGGGACACTCCTAGCATCGTCCTTTCGACTGCGCGTTCGATGACGCTGAGTGGCCTTTCATCTTGCTTACGCAGCGACCAGGTTTCTGACGCATATGTTAGGGCAGGAAGTACCGTTTAGCCGAAAAGGTGGGCACGGAGTCGGGTGTTCTTTGTTTTCTTGACTACATCCTCGATGCTCTTGAAAGCTCTCCAAGCCGCTCGTTTCCTTCTCCTCAGCTCTGGAACTACGTTGTTCATCATATTGATTTCCCGACCTAGATAGACATAACTGGAGCGCTGGGAGATATTCGCTCCGTTGAGCGTGAATGGGGCATACGAAACTATTCCGTTACTCATGAACATCATTTTTGTGATTTAGTCGAAGACCAATCTTTCCATAGGTTTTATCAAAGTCGTCAAGCATACGTTCCGCTGGGCTAATGTTTGGTGTTATAAGGGCGATGTCATCAGCAAAGCGAATATGATATAACTGCCGACAATCGATTTTCACTCCCATGTTTTCCCATTCCAATGTTCGCATGACGTTGTGGAGGGTGGCGGTAAATAACTTTGGCGAAGTTGTATCGTCTTGCCTAACTCCGCTTTTGACGTCAATGTTAATATCGTTGTAGAATGGTGATACCTTGGTTGTGAAATTTTTGTACAGCTCACGAAGAATCTTGAGGTACTCAGTAGGGACTCCTTGACTATCAAGGGCTTCAACGACTGCTTCTGTCTCAAGTGAATCAAAGGCCTTCTGTAAATCGGTGAAAGCGAGAGCGGTCCCTTCTACTCTCGCGATACATCAATGATACATCATCGATACATCAATACATCATTGTTATCGTGTGGATGTGGTCCAATGAACTAAATCCTTTTCGAAACCCTGCTTGGTCACATGGCTGTCTTTCGTCCAGTGTTCTGTGTGCAGAGCCGAGCCGGTGTGTTTACGAGGACTAGCGGAATGTTCTTCAGGTGTTCTGGTCTTATATTGTCCGGACCTGGTGCCGTTCATTTTTTCACCGACGAAATGGCATGTTGGATTTCCGATGGGAGAACCGGCGGTACAACATATCCATCCTCCTTTATTTCATATGACGGGAGGTGGACGTGGCTATCGAAGAGATCCGAGTAGTATTCGTGAATGATTTTCTCTATTGCCTTTCTGGACGCTGTAGCTGTTCCGTCTGCGTGCCGGAGTGCAATTATTTTGATCTTGTAGTTGATGAAGCTTCGATGGGCTTTGCGAATGCTTTTCTCAGCCTCTGCAGCTTCGACCATTACTGCTGCTCTTCTTTCCTTAAGATCTTCTTTTATCGTCTGTCTGCATTGTTTTCCAAGTTTAGAGGTTAGTTGGCGGCTGCCTGCAGCCCGTGCGATTCCACGCTGGCGTATCAGCTCGAGTGTTTCTGGAGACAGACGTCTCTTGGTGACTTTCGAACCCTCAGGTTTCATAACACTAACGTGAAGGTGTTGAATGAGCCGATCGTATTTCTCGTCGATGTTAACGACAACGGCATCGTCTCAACAGCCGACTAGTGATTTAAATAGGTCCCAGTTTACGGTGGTTCTGGGACTTCGGTTTTGGAATTCAGCGACCCTTTCTCCCTTGCGCGAGAAATAGAATCTCGCACGAAGGAGGCGATGGTCTGATCCCGTGTAGAATTTTTGGACAACAGCGACATCGGTTAGGCAAAATCTTCTATTTACTATGATGCGGTTTATTTCGCTGTGGTACTCTCCATTGGAAGACTTTCACGTCCAGCGTTGAGGGTGGGGCTTCTGGAATTTCGAATTACCATGGATGGTCTTGGTCAGCATGATTAACTCAGATAGCTGCTCACCCTGTTCGTTCCATTCTAATCCGTGGGTTCTAATGTGACGTCCTTCAGACGTTCTTCTTGGTGCAATCTTGGTGTTCAAATCTCCAACGATGACCTTGAAGAATGTATGGTCTACTCTGTAGAACTTCTCCAAGCCCATATAGAACGGCTCGACTTCTTCTTTGTCATAGTTTGATGTCGGCGCGTAAACGACGAAGATTGTCAAAGCCGGCATTGATCCAAATCTCATCAATTGCAAACATCCTATCCAGGTTGTTAGTTGTTCGAATGGATCGATATTCATGGACAAACTCGTGTTGACGAGAACGCCGACTCCTCTGCTGTCGCGTGTTCCGAGGAACAGTTTTTCTCCGGTGCCACAGACGGCGTTGAATGTGTTGCGCCGTCTCGTCTCGGCCAGGCCGATGACGTAGTGCGTTATCCTTATTGTTTACATGAGCAAGTCTTCTATCGAGGACTCGGATGTAAGTGTACGTGCATTGTAGGTACAGATCGTCACCACAGTTCTGTGTAATCCAGCAGCTTCCATTGGCCCTAAGATTTAGCAGCCTCTCCGTACCCGTCCTACCCAATGTTGCGAAATTGGAGGCTCTTTCGGGATCAGGGGAATGAGGCCCGTTTTTTTTTACTGTGTTTAACACTTTGATACCCACATATAGCTTACTGGACTCTGAACGTGGAGGCTGTGTATACTCACGGGTAGGTTGTCAAGTTCTTCCATAGTGGACATGGTGCTTATTTGTTGAAGGCGACTCCTAACCGCCTCCTATATACTTCCCTGTCACTTGATTGCAGGCTTTAGGCCGAATTGACTCGTAGAATGCAATCCGGATAAACAAGAATGCACCTACACACGCGTGCATGAATACGACTCGTAAATACAGAAAGCATGTCCCAAATCGGTGCAGCAGAAACAGGGAGTCCATTCCTTGAATCCAGCTGCGTCTCAGGGAAGCAAAGGTCGCTTTTGGTCCGCGATTAACCCCCCATTCGCCACCTGGGGACGCGCCACGTAGCCACGCGACTAACAGGCTCGAGATCCCTCACATGAGGGAGATCCGTGGTTGCATCATATACAGGAGATAAAACATTCAACTGTTGGTGTAGGGAGCGTACAACTGTGATTTTTCTAGGCAGATAGAGAAGATTCTCCATATGATGTTAACATCAAACATGCAAGACAGAAGCACTCAACGATTTGCTTAGGGAGTGTACAACAAAAATTTGTCTAAACAGATGGAGAAGATACCTTACGTAATCCAGAGTCTTCTCGATATTATTCGTGAGTAGCCTCAGTGACACCACTCATCTAAAATGACTGTTTTCCGAGAGATATAAAGCGAAAGCTCTACGATCGCAAGCAGATATTCTAAGCACAGTATGGTCGTCTCTTCAGGATTCCAGTTGTTCTTTCTACGGAAATGTGCCCGACGCGTATCATCGATGCTTCTTAGAAAAACATAATGAACTCTACGAAGCGTTTCATCACTCATTCCTGCACTTTTAAATAATCTTTCAGCTCAATTTCTATACTTCTTAATTGCTGAATACATCTACTAAATGTCGAGTACCGTCGAAAAGTTTCTGTGTGTCTTTAGCTTTTATCCAGAGAACTAGAAATGTGATGGTTCATTTTTCAACTATTTTCCCGTCAACTAGCCATATCAGTGTTATTATCATTACTGTAAGGGAGCGTGTGGCGCAGTGGTCGGAGGCGCCCTGCAACACGCACGCGGAGTCGATTCCCGCGCCCACGGCCCACCAAGTGTTCTATCCGCCCGAGGTCGGTAGATTGGTTCCAAACTTGTCTGAGAGGGTAGCAGCACCGGCTGGATACATCGGTAGGCCACCGCGAGTCATTGTAAAGGCCAAATATGCATTCAACTACCTCCATCAATGCTTAATGAAATCGAATGCATGGCGCATCCCGCACGGATTGGTCAACGTCGAAGGCTTTATCTTTTTATTTTTGAGGCAGTCTGCCAAGCAATGATAGCCAGGTTAGATCCGGTCGGTCAACTTCTCAAGAGTCTCAGTTAAGTATTCGTTCAAAATAATCGAATCCTGGCCGAAATGTTAAGAATCTGAGTAGTGGAGGAGATCAAAAACGGATGGCCGTTCCTCACTCAAAGTAGTAGTATCGTTCTGTTCCCTCCAATCTACACTGCAGTTGGAACCATCCCGAACCCTCTACACAACACCTCAATCGATAACCATCTTCATCTTTGCACACAAGCACCTTGGAGAACCACGAATAGAGAACTAGCTGAAGTCCTGATGATTCCTTAAGTCTTCTCAATAAGTGAGTTCCTTGTCACGCATAATTGTCGTTTGAACTTCGTCCACTCTGTCGAGGTAACTCGTCCTCGTGGGTGGCGGCAATAGGAACCAAAGGAAACACTGACATTTTTGAGACCATCCCGATTCTTAAACGATTTCACTACATAGTAACTAGCACAGTAGTAGTTTTGTTGTAATTGTAGTTAATTTTCCCTAATATTCGTCATATCCGTGATAAGACATGACCTGCTCCGTTCGCCGGTCCATCGCTCCGTGACAGTTGCCGCCAATTCCGTCGACGAGTCTACGTGGGACCTACGCCAGATTTCCTTCCTTCACTCGTTCCAGAGTCAGTGGGGGCAGTTAGTAGTGCTCGACTTATCTGAACCTTACTGTCCATCGGAAGATTTCCTGGTTTTCAGGAATAAAAGTTATTTGCAGCCTTTTGAATAGCTGCAGCACTCCTTCGATAGAACTGGACCGGTGAATTTAGAATTTCCCTTTCTTTCATTCTTCAATAAGCAGTCCTGCTGTCTTAGGTTTTCAGACGTCTCTCGAAGAGTTTCTTCTTTTCGGCCTTTCGAACGTTTCTCAGGATATTCTTTTGTCTGGTGTTTCAGATGAGCAGACGATGGCTAGTCATGTATCACTTGTAGATGATCCTGAAAAACACTTTTTGGGCAATCTCCTGGATGAAGATCCTAACATTAGTCCACCGCTGTTGAATAGAGGTAAGTTCTTTACGGAAGTCGAGCTAGATAGAGCAGTACTATCTCGCTATTGTAGGTATTGCGTGCTGATTTGCTTACATTGTATCTTCACTCCTTATTTTTCGCTGTGCTATCGATATCTTCAGGAAAACGTTTTGTGGTTATAGGGTCGTGCTCATCACCAGGTGCTATTCCACCAGTATCTGTTATCAGTGGTGTTGGACCAATCAGTACAAACAGCTTGCTACGTTCGTACTGGCCAGAGCCACCACCACCGTACTCTCCTCCAATACAAGTAAGTCTCCTAGATTAAAGAAGTGTTCCGCACGATGGTTCATTGTACCCGTTTGATATCTGCGCATAGTTTAAGTTTTACGAAGTGTGAAAGATTGTAGTAGGCAGCAAATAAAAAGTTAGCATTGTGATTTCAATCATTGCCTCAGCTTAACTTGGTTCGATGCCGATTTGTGGTCTCCAGATCAATTCCGTTGATGGGTGATTGCTGAGGGCACTGGTAGATAGAAAACAAGATGAGAGACAGGCGACGAAACGAAGGACCCACGTGGTATGGTGGTGAACCCGTTAACCTCCGGAAGGGGTAATGACGTGTTCTATCCAAACCGCAGATATCTGCAGTCCTGAGTTTCGCAAATATCTCAGCATCATTATGGTTCTATGAAATCTTTCAGACTTCTTGGTATAACAGTGATCTTCCTCCATGCGTGATACCAGTCTCGTCAGAATACTTCGCGAGTGTCGGCACGGTTTGTTTCGTTCTATCTTTCCGTCCTTTGTATCAAGTAGAAGTTTCTATTTTTATTTGAGTATCTAGGCATTTTCCACTGGAATCGATTACATTCGCAAGAACCGCTGTGTGGTGGTTATTGGTTATAGTAATTTGATTGTTCTCGCGTATTTCAACATATTCGCCTCAATGTTATTATGAAGGAATGACGTGTGAAGTACGCCATCAGTAACAGTTACAGTCGTATTCGTAAATTTGTTAAGGGCTTAATATAAAGTCCTTAACATATTTACGAATATGTACTCTGATACTTGATAACACTACACTATTATGTACTCTGATACCTGATACTTGTACTTTGATAACCTTACACGAAGTTGATATATAATCTTTATCAATCTTAGAAAATCTTGCAAAGCTTATAGTCTAATCTAATCCCTATCAGCTACTTAATTGTTTAAAAAAAAGATAAAGCTGTCGGCGTTGATCTGTCCCTAACGGATGCGCTATGCATTCGACCTCATTAAGCATCGTTGGAGGTGATTGAATGCATATCTTGCCTTTCCAATGACTCGCGGTAGCCTACCAATGTATCGAGCCAGTATTACTACGCTCTCAGATAAGTCTGGCACCAATTTGCCGACACCGGAGGGATAGGAGGGCTTGGTTAACCTTGGGCTTGAGAGTCGACCCCATGTGTATTGCAAGGCGCCTCCGACCACTGCGCCACACGCGCCCACTTAATTGTTATCACCGGACAATCACTACTAGCAACATCTATCGCCCTGTATGAGAGAGCATCGTAGGGTGAGTATTCTTCGTTCGAGAGATGCTCCACTGAGGAAGATCCGGCTCGATATGAAAATGAACACGCCACGTCAAGACGAACAGCAGTGTACCACCGTCGACTTGGATCATAGATTCTGATCAAGACTAAGACGTGGAAACGTTAGCTGAATAATGATTTCATGTCAACCTCATGTAAGCTTATCAAAGAAAGATTGAAGGTTGAAGTAGAAGCGGAGTATGGAGATTTTACAATCAACTGTTGATTCTTGATTCATTGAAGATGTATGGGTACGAATTATATCATGTAAAATTCAGAGCCGGCCTACGTTCATCACCCAGCCGCAAATTCACCATCACCATCACAGTTTACATCATCATACCCACACACATAATGTCGTATGTGTTAGCCTTGTGTTTTTCTTTCATTTATTGATAGATTTCATCTAGTTTAGGTTGAGAATCATCATCATTATCCAGTAACAACAGCCAAAATACCCCCTCGAGGTTACGCTGTCAACAGGCTTTCCGAGACTTCGCCAAATCAAGGCAATTTGTTGAGAACCAATGAAAGTCTCATATATGAGGGCGAGAAGGCAGTCGAGAATCAGAAAGGAAGTACTAAAGGACAGCATCCTTGTTCACTGGATACCCCATTGAGTAAACCACCGCTAAGGTCAGTGCTGCTACTGCTTGAGCGACCATCTTTGCACTTGCAACGACGACGAAATCATGTTGTTCAGTTTTCTTATTTCGCATCTTACAAAGTTTATATTTGGTATTGATCATTTACTGTCTAGTTATCGTGATGTTGCCGCAAGAAATGATCAAAATACATGCAACGACAGTTCCGTGCAACAGGTGTGGTTTTTTTTTAGGGGCGGGAACTCTAAAGAATATATTTCCTTGAAGTTATAGAGGTAGAAACTTAAATCACCGATATATTTCAGAACAAAAAACTACAAGTTCAGTTAGATCTAGACAGTCGGTCTTGCACTGCGAAAACTCGTAATGTCGTTGTCCGTGGAAGTTCCAGTTCTACTCGCATGAACCGTATGTGTCTCTTATTTCTGTCTAGCATTCATTGTATTAACACACTCCCTTTTAGGAGACCGTAAACCTAAATCTGAACAGGGTGTCGATTTTCAAAAGATCACAAGAAAGAAGGTTGTGGCAAAAAAGGAAAAGGTTTTTATTTTCTCAAATTTCAAAGAATTTCTTTGTGCTACCGCCTGTTCTACAATTCTACAATATTGAAGAAAAGAAACTTCAAGTAAAAACAATTCCTGGAACGACTCTACTTTTTAGTCTTCGCACCGGACTGCGCTTTGTGACTCCGCTTCTCTACCACTACTAGGCCAAAGCCCTACTATGGATGCTCCCACAAAATATGAGGTAGTCACTTTAAGCTTTCTTACCATTTTATCCTTGTCTTTGTCTTATTCCTGTTCTATAATTTCCATCTGGTGAAAACTTCAGGTTCTTCAAGTTTTGGCATCTAAAACATCGAAAAGAAGTCATGCCGAAAATGTACTAGTAGCCAAATGCGATCGAGGTACAACTGAAAGGCATTATTTAATTTACAACCAACATCATGATTACCATTTGCGTTCTTGTTTAGAACCCATGAGAACAACAATGATGTGCAACGAACGGTTACGTTCTAACTCTTTATCTACTGGTATATCCAATTTTACACTGTACTTGTGCTTCCATTAACACACAATACCTAATATGCATTGGATACAAAACATTTTCTGCGAAAAAAGAAATTGGTGCTTCCAGTTTTAAACCAACAGGCCTTAGCTCATATCAAACGTTATTAGTGTAGACAGAAGCCACTGGAATCTACAGCTTTATACCTACGTTAGACACTTTATCCGTACCACCAGTCACGTTTTGATTTCGTAGGACGCATGACACGTGTTTTTTTAGACAATGTTTATATTTCAAACTTAGAAGGGAAGGGGTTTTCATACAGCAGACTCCGCTCTTGTGTCAGAATATTTATAAAGTTAGTTTCGTTCCCAGCTCCAAATTTTTATCCCAAGTATTCAAAGTTGATAGGATTATCTGTTTTTGTTTTTACTTTATATGGCCGGAAATTAGACATCGTGAGAATCTTAGCACTTCTTCCTTTCAATTCGTTTCATCGTGTCTATCCTCCATAAAAGTTTTTGGAAACGCGATTGGCTTTCACTACTTCTTTAAGGGTTTGCTGTTGTCATGGATGTCGTGCAATGCCGATGAAGTTCATTTTTCATGAAACCCCGGCATAGCCATGATATGGCGCTACCAGGCCTTCCCTGTAGCCATTCACCAGCCTTACTGGATAGGATAGAGATTCCTTGACAAGTTTGATAGCAACCTATTGATTCAAGAGGAACGGGGGAGGTTTATTTGGGTTTATGTAGTGTTGGGGCAGGGTCTTGCACAATTTTTGGATAGCATCTTTACCACTGTATTGCATACGTTTTATCGTATCTACCCTCCACAAAGGATCCACAGAAATTACCTTCGTCACAAATTGAAAAAATTCTCTATAAAATTTATATATACGAACAAGTTGGTATAACAGAGCCTCATCCATAAATCTGTTAGATCTTAGCTTTTCGAATACTGGTCAAGAGTTCATAAGCTTCGGGTGTTATGTATTAAAGTACAATATTGTTTGCTCTCGTGATCTTATGTTGATTAATTCTCTTTTATTGCAAGGAGTTGGAGCTGGTACTGTGATTGACGTAGCTCGTCCCAAGCGCACGATAGATATTACTGAGAAGAAAAAACAAGCAGGGTCAACGAACACTGTGGAACAATCACTTCAAAGGAGACGAACAATTCATGAGCCTAATGAATATGGGTGGATCGAAAAAACAGGTGCTCTTTATTTTGCGAGTTATTAGAGCGTTTTTTTTTTGTAATAATGGACTATCACAATATTTAATTATGTGATAGAGTAACTACTTTTGGTTTGTTTCGTTACAGCGTAAAGTTCTTGTTTCAGTTGTCATTACTTCTATAGTATCTGGTTGGATCGAGTTTGTATTCAGATGGATTCTGAATATTCTAATGGGTGTTTGCCTCCAAGTCTACGATGTCGCATCCATCAGGTTATTAATAATGTGACCAAACGAGTTGTCAAGCATTTAAAATCTCTAATTTTAGTCAGACTCTCCTTTTTTGCAAGTTTTTGTCAAAAAATCGTCGAAAGTTGCCTGCCGATTCAGTAACTACCAGATATATGTAGTCAAAGGATAAAGGGTAAAGCTCTCAACGTTGATCAATCCCTGAGGGATGCGCTATGCTTTCCACTTCATTAGGCATCGCTGGAAGTGATTGATTCCATATCTGGCCTTTATAATGGCTTACGGTGACCTTCCGATGTATCCAACCAGTGCTGCTATCCTCCCAGATAAGTCAGGTGCCAATCTGCGACCCCGGAGTGATGAAGGGCTTGGTGGTCCTGGAGCGCGGCGATTGATTCCATGTGTATAGTAGAGCGCCTCCAACCATTGCGCTACATGCGCCTTTGGATATATAGTTAAGTTGAACAAATTCTATTGTTCCTTTGCGTGGTGATGCGTCGGCTAGATTTCTTTCGTGTGTGAAATGTATTTAAACTTAGTAAGAATGGATTTTTTGAACTTTGAAGTGTAACTCCAACTAGAGCTGTTGAATATTTTCTCAGACTAAGGGTATTGTTTGCAGCTGCAGCGTTTCAATCTAAACTTTTAGTGTCGCCTGTCTTTGCGGACCAACACAGTCTTTTGTAAGACGAGTCCTTTTGTTGATAAACACAACGGCAGTGTGAGTTTCCTAACGCACTAACATTAAAAAATTGGCGAAATGTTTAAAAGCTTTCCATCAACTTTTAAACTCATTTGCATTGATTGCACAACAAAATCAGTATACTCCTATAACTAGTCAATCAAAATCAATCGTTTATAGCCATCCTTTCTTTTTAAACTCGAATACATAACGCTCGAGGTGCTTTGTGCAAAAGTATTTTGTGCTAAAGTAATGGCCAACTTCGTAATTATTTGGAATAAACAACTTAGGCTTTGTATTTACAGCCGCCATGCTTGAGAATTTTAAGTTTGAATTACTATAATGATGCTGAGGTACTTTTAAAATTCCGAACCGCTGGTGTCTACGGTGAGAATTGAACACGCTATTACCCTTCGACATGGATGAGAGAAAGACGAAACGAAGGACACGCATGGTGTGGTCGTGAACACGTTAGCTCCCGGAAAGAGTAGTAGCGTGTTCAATCCCTACCACAGATACCAGCGGTCCAGAGTTTTGCAAATATCTCGTCATGGTTATGGTTGTTTCATATAATGCCTATCATTTAAAAGAATGAGCAGTAAATAGAAAGTGACTACCGCTTGAGTTACAGTTTCAGCTTTTTAAAGTTGTTTTAAAGGTATTCAAAACTGAGTGAGTACTTTACGAAGATTTTCTATGTATATATATATATATATTTATTTAAGAGAGTAGAATAAGAACTCTTTTTCATAAAAGAACATTCTCAGTTCCTCAAATAAGTCATCAAGAAGTCACTCCAAGTCGTCAAAAAAATCAGCTTTAGGCATTGTGTTGAATCGCAATTAGATTAGACAATAATATTTTGGTGGATCCTGTGCTAAATTTCTTGTGCTCTTATATAACATCGTCAGCATTTCTTCTGAGATTATTTTTAGGGTGTTGACTTCCTCAGCCCGACATGTCAGTTTACGACGCTTTCTTCGTCTTCGTGAACCGGAACAGTTAATGTGGGGTTTGGATGAAAATATTGTTCTGCCAACTACAGGTTGTTTCCTCTATCCGTTTTATTGCACAGGCTTCCACAATTTTACCAATTTTTATTTTTACCGTTGGAAGTGTTTAGTTTTTCGACAGTTTATGCTTCTCTAACCCAATTGCAGAAGAGCAGGCCTTGGATCACTTTCTATCCTTGTATTGTCAAGATGCTTACGGTGTACTTGGCCTGAAAGCTTCTTGCAGTGAAGAAGATGTGCGCAGACACTACAAGAGACTAATTACGCTCCTTAATCCTGAGAAAGTATAATTATGCTTTTTTCTTACCATATTTCTATTCATAAAAGATTTTAGGTTTTATTAACCAACTTCCATTTGAATAACTTTGCAGAACATGCTAGAAGGTGCGGAAGAAGCCTATATCATGGTAGCAAAGGCATATGAGGCGTTAGCAACTCCTGAAGCTCGGAAGATGTATAATCTTAGTCGTATCCACCCTCGAAAAAATGATTTGGTAAGTGCTGATTGGCACAAATGGTTATTCTCGAAAGAATTAGGTCCACTTCATTTCTTTGCAGCACCACGAAATTGGAGAAATGTGGGATAAAGTCCGTTTGCGAATTGAAGAAGCTCGTAGTTTCATGTATTGCGATTGTGGTCGCCGCCACGCGAAAATCGCGCTAAATGTTCGTCAAAGCGAAGCGCGCTATTGCCGTCGGTGCAAGACGCGTCATGCAGCAAGAGCAGTATGGTTTTTCAATGACTGATTAACTTGTCGGACGTGATGTTGTCAAATCGATTAGATCAGTTCGTAGTGATTGAACGATTGCTAAAATTTTTTGAACTCCCTCTAGAATCGTCGAATCCTATTTTCTATATACAACATTGTTATAGAATGATATCTGGGTTGAAACTCGACTCTGCGGGTTATTGTGGGTGTATTTCACTTGCTGCGATGGCATCATATACGACATTACGGACTGGGCAACATGCGAGGTAATCAGTCCGATTTCTAGCTGATCTTATCCTATCTTGTCGTTGTAGAGACAAAAACTTCAGATAAACTATCTTAAACACATCCGGCCTAATTCGCATACTGTGCAGTACCGCTTGGTGGCGCCCACAACGTCCAATTCTGGGAAATCCGCTACAGATGCTACATCGCGCAAAAAGCAAAACGATAAGCTACACGATCTTCCTCATGTATCTGACGAATGTCGTGGTGACTGGGGTATGTGATAACGCAATAAGAACTTTACTGCTTTCTTCTTTTCACGAAAATTCCTCTATTTGAATAATTAACGGTAGTCCTTGGAATTACAGTAGGTGTAAGTAAGTACTCAAGACTAATCACAGTAGGCTACCTATTAATATTTTCTTAACAATGACGTTATTGTGAAAGAAATTCACTCGTATGCGATAACAGACGATAGTGGTACAGTCAGCAATAAAATCAGCGGGTAGTTGAATGGAATTATTCAACTGACAGTTCTTTGCATCCTTATCAGCTCTCATTGTCATTGCGAAAGAATTCAACGCATGTTAGGCGAAGGAATATTTCTAAGTACATTGAACAAGTCCGACTAAGGTGTATAGTGGTGGAAGTGAAAGTTACTGTTTCCCATTCATCACCATCAGATCATTTGCAGACCTTGTGCTATTTACACCATGTTCTGTGTAACGGTTGTTAGTTGGCTTTGATCACATGTGTGAGAGGACCCAGATTGCAAGTGGATCTTACTGGATATTTATGAATAATAAATTCATAAACTTTGTAGCATTCAATGGACCAGCCAGTGTTGGGAAGGAATAGGATGATTTGTGATACCTACTTAGAGTGCAGTAAAAGTACTGAAAAAGCCGAAGGCACTTGGCTGACCTTTGACTTGGTGCTTTTCCTGTCATGAGATATTTGATTTCAACGTTTAACGGGCAAAATAAGCATCTGGTTCGTCCATTGAAACGCCATTCAAAGAACTGGGCCGGCTTTTACGGAGACCGTAACACAGGAATGTTGTGTTGTGCTAATTATTTGTAGAGAGCCTGTTACGAAAGTTTAGCATGCAAAGGAATGAGATCTAGACGCTTTAATATTGTATTTTCTTACATCATATCTATCACATTATGTAGGCCCCAGTACTTCTTGCATCCATTATACGATCCTATTAGCTAAATTGGCATGCTTTCACGGTAACACTATTGCTTTGATCAGGCAGTTGGTTAAAATTACTGTTACTTACGGTTTTTTTAAAGTATTGGTCCTCAAAGCGCTAATTATTAAATCGTTTAGGCCGCTTTGGATATGCACAGGTTTCTTATCTCCCACTTGAACCGAGGAGTGAGGACCGTTCACGTCGCGCTGCGAATCGTCGTCAAAAGAGATGGCGTTAGTGTTTCACGAGCACTACCTGTTTTCTTTTAGTTCACCGTTACGCGTTTGAAAGGTGCTCGGGCATGAAATGCAATAATTCTTTATCACTGGGCAGTAGAATTACTGTAATTTCTAAACATTAATTCTTTCAAATGAAGTGTTAAACAGGAAGGAAGATCCTTTACTGTTTCTCTCTATGAGCTATTTTTCTGTTTAGCAGGGCTTTAAAGTTGGTCATGTTTGGCTTTTCTCCGTCGTTTCTCACACTTCTCCCTTTTTTTGCTTTACAAATGAAGTGTGTCTTTTTCCGGAGCTCAAACTACTTCGATGAGGTTTTGTTGTATTTATTTTCTAGTTGTTTTTCTTCTTTTATATTTACAATATCTCATGCGGCTCAATTAATATCACTTTGTTTCTTATAGTGACTGCCTTAGGCTCGTACTTTATCACTTTGTTCAAGCTAATGGCCTATACCGTTTATTTCTGTTATAAGTGTGTTAAACTTCATAGAAGCAATATGTTTTGTGTATTCTTGTTAATATTGAAACACTATGAATGATCATTTCCGGTTCTTATTTTGCATAATAGATATGTATTCTATCTGATAATTATTGTAATGTGACGAGTTATGCATTTTGAGCAACAGGTTATGTCAAATGTAAGTTCGCAATAAAGCATGAGGTGGTTCGCTGGATGCATTCGCTTTGCAATTTGCATAGAACTTGGGGGATCGAACCAGCAGGTACCTGGAGAAATATTCTATTTTTACACGAGAATGGGCTTCTATTAGTGTACGCATAGAGAGCTCCGACGTAATCTATGCACTTTGAGAAACGTGAAACCCAACGGCTAAATGCCGACAACAACGTAGTTGTGCAGTGAGCTAGTTTTTTTTGCCACACGAGTTTGAAATGTTTCAACAACCTTAATCGTTTTATTTACTGCCTACTATTTTTAAATGGCAGGGTGTATTGCTACATATAACTTCAATGGAGCTGAAATATTGGCAAAACTCCGGACCGCAGGTGTTTGCGGTGGAGAACGAACGCTTAATTTTATTTCGCAATGGACTCTGCCATTAAAAAGAATAGGCAGTAAATAAAACGATTAAGATTGTGATTATAACTAAAGCCTCAGATTAACTGGGTTCGTTGCCCATTTGGGCCCCCAGATCAATCCGGCCGATGGGTGATTGCTGACGGCAAAAGATCGATAAAACTAGCTCAGAGACAGGCGCACTGAAGGACCCGCATGGTGTGGTGGTGAACGCATTACTCCCCGGAAAGGACAATAGCGCGTTCGTTCCCCACCGCAAGGACCTGCTGTCCGGAGTTTTGCCAATATCTCAGCTTCATTGAAGTTATGTTTCAACAGCGTTGACAGAATTGCTTACGGAATACGTAAGGAACAAAAGCCGTCGAAAGCACCAGAAAAAGAAACTACAAGAAACCCGAACTATGAAGCACGAAAATAAGGCCAAGCCGCATTAAAGGGGGCAGTTGGGTCGGCTTGAATTGGTATCAAGTCATTTTAATCGCTCCGAAAGCAAGTATGGCGTAGAACAGAGGCTTCAACCAAATGGATTTGAGCGTTGGATAATACGCAATGAGAGATAACACCCTGCTTCCAAATTTGACCCCAACTCATGGGATGACACTTAAGTTGATGTCGACAGTATAAATCATGTAACTTGGCCGGATTGAAACACGTCAACTGCATCGCGAACATTACTCCTGTCATATTGCCTGGTCATTATTGCCGCAAATTTTTACACTTCATTTACATGACCTTTCCTCATGGCAGATCCCAGCACTTCTCGCCTTCGATTCCTTCTCCCCACATTCATTCTCCAAAAAAGGTCTTCCAACGTTTCGGGTGTGGTTTTGACTGCTTGCTTAAGGATTTCCTTCTTTATGAATGTCGTAGAATGCTGGTCGAGTAAGTTCTCCTTGGAGTCTTGGGAATAACCGAGCTATGACGTTCCCACGTGGATTGGAATGAGCGTTGGGAATGTGGTCGTAATAGTGCTTTCGTTTCTGATGGATTACATCACTAACTACTGCGCTATCGCCGCCTCATTGCTGCTAATTATTATATGAAATTTTTAGTCTGTTTGCATAGGTGGTACTTTTTTTCCGATTTCGCTTTGCTTGTAATACTACCTTCTTGGAATGTTCTGCTTACCAGAACCAAGTTAACCCAAGTTAACTCCCTCTCTTAGGCAAAAGACCCATAGATGTTGTGCAGCCGTCTTAACTACGAGCTTGCTCTTAGTTTAAATCCATTTTTCAAAATTTGATATTATTAGCTCACCATTTCCACACTTTTTTAGTATTTCATTATTAAATGCTGAGAGCACATAAGCAGACGATATGAAGATTTTTGGAATGGTCTTTTTCTTACATGACCCGACATCACACATTGTATGGATTCCAGCTTTGTTTTCATTCGATTCCCTCGTATTCGTCAACTACGAAAGTCTCCGGATCTAAGTACGGCTACAGCTGAATTTCCGACTGAATGTGAAAACCGCTAAATGCTGGTCGAGCCGATTTTGCTTGAGATTCTTGAATAACCCTACTATAGCGCTGTTCCAAAGTCTTCACTACAGGCAGTAACCAGATCTCATGGATCGCGGGAAGCGGAGTTTACCTCAGAAACGTTTGGTGACAGTCTCCGAAGCCCAGTGAGATGAGAGCTTGCTTAGCTCGAGGTGAGGTCTAACTAACCTTCGAATATATATAATAGTTAAATGCACTATTTGAACCCTGTCTTCAGCTTCGTTTATATGAAAAATATCAACAAGTAGAGATCAGAGAATAACAAGAAAGCCAAGACGAAAAGAATTAAGGTGAGTTCGCATTTCCCATAATTGTACCGCTTCACTGGTACCACATTGAGAGAATGAGATTACAGCATTCATTATGATCTCTCCATTGCTATACCGAATAGCTTGAAATAACAAAAGAATTTTCATTTGAGGAATCTAAATTATGATTATTTCTTACCTGATTAGGAAGGGTTATGATATAAGTTTTTCCTTTAGCTTCAACTGGAAGTAATGATCTCTATGACGTACTAAATTTTTCAGTTTTCAATCATATGGAATGTAGATTATGTACAACATTCAGCGAATGTGATCATTCTGTGAGGATACGTAAGTGACAAACACAATAAGGTTTAGGAGGTAGTCCGACTGACTTTTTGCCAACAGCTACTCGACAACTCCACTCGATTGTGGAATGTGTGTGGAGGTGGCGCGTCTTTCTCGAGATAGGGAACAATTCTCGACCACCACGACCTGCAAAGTGAATATTATTGGCAATGGGTTCATGTTCTTGTTCCATAATAGTCCCCTACCATGACAAAATATTCCTTTCCAACGAATTTTCGTGGTAAGATAACATTAATGCGTGGTATTCCATAAAAACCCTTGTCGATACTGTATACCTAAAAATCTCTTATAGTACTTCGAAAAGTAAAATTAGCATCTATAAATCCATCAAAGAGTAAGGTATAGTAAAAGTGAAGCTATTCTTTCCCAGAACATCAATTGGCTATAAGCTAAGGAGCAAATGACCTCAGCTTTTGAATCCGGTTCGATATGATTATTACGAATAGGAAGTAAAATAATAAGCCAAATAGGATTCTAATAGAAGGTCAAGTATCAGGAAAGGATATATTGTTCGCCAACTACGTGACATCAGATAAAACGTGTAGATCTGCAATGTATCATTTATTTGCTTTAAGGACGTTTTCACCTAATTGACAATTTTTGAATTCGTCGAATCATGGATTCGATCCGTTTAAGGCTTTGAGTTTTCATTTCCAAAATCTCGAAAGCTTATTACCAAAACTTCTTGGCTTG